AAGCATGTAACAAACAACGAAGTCATGAGAAGAGTCAACAAAAGAATGGAAATATTGGAAACCATCAAGACACGAAAGCTGCCATACCAGGGGTAAGTTATTCGTAATGAAAGATACATACTTCAATTAATCACAATGGAAAATTTAGGGCAAGAGAAGTGTTGGAAGGAGAAGAGTCTCATAGTTGCGTAATTCGAAGGAATGGTATGGATGCACATCAATCAAACTATTCAGAGCGGCAGCATCTAAGATCAGAATAGCCATGATGATTGCCAACCTCCGTCGCGGAGATGGCACGTAAAGAAGAAGTATGCATATATTGTATACCTTTTTTCACATCCACCAGCTTCATACTTTTATCTAATACATCCAAGATTCAAAGGCTTATCCCGATTTTACCAGTCTAACATAGCTCTCACCACAAATGTCAAACGGGGGTTCTTTGGCCTGCGTTAAATTAAGGTAGAGCAAATTTTGGGATAACCAAAAGATGAAGTCAGATCAAGTACAAATGCTTCGTATAATACTTACATGTCGAAAAAGAACAAATTAATCAGAGTGACAAAAGTAAGATACATTATGTAGAAAGCAATATGATTTAAATAAAAAATTTTCGGTGATATAATTGAACATAATGAAAAAAAAAACACAAAATATTGGCGACCCCGGAAATACAAAAGAAGAAGACAAAAATTGAGATTGAGTGACGATCTTAAGAAACATGCTGCAATAAAATGGATGCAATTAGTATTGAACTAAAACTACGGGAAGCATGTGTCCAACTAGAAAGAGTAAATCCAAGGATAGATCCCTTTCCCGTTTCAAGTACTTCACGTGTCACTCTAATATAATATCTCATTGACACACCAATAATCTCATTGACATTTTCTCAATGAACTTTATTCAATAAAATGCACATTAAAAAATCAATAATAGATTGGTAATTATAGTTCTCAGTTGAACGTATATAAATATGTGTGTAATTATCAGAATGTAAGTTATTTATAATATAATAGGCATGTAAGGACTAAATGAGGCTTTAAACAAGTTTTAGAATTGGTAATTAAAAAGTTTTTATTATAGACCAGGCGATACTATTGTTAAAATAGCCACATTAGGGTGGAAAGCGTAGTTTTTTGCATAACTCGCTTCAAAGTGTCACAAGAAATCATAATTTTAGTATACGTATTTTATCAAAAAAATACAATAAAATAAAATGGCATAAAATTAAATATAATAAAATAAAATAGAATAAAACAAAATGGAACAAAATAGAATCAAATAGAATATATTATATATACATATAAATTTAAAAGAAAATGAAATAAAATGGCATAAATGGAACAAAATAGACTAAAATAAAACAAAATTAATTAGAATAAAATGCATAAATTGGAATAAAATATAATAAAATTAACTTTATTTAAAATTAAATGTAATAATAAAATAAAATAAAATGAAATAGAATAAAATAAAAATAATATAATAAAATGGAAAAGAAATATTAAATTTAAATAAATAAAACAGCATAAAATAAAATAAAATGGCATAAAATGGCATAAAATGAAATAACATGGAATAAAATGGAATAAAATTAAATATAATGGAATAAAAATGAATAAAATGGCCTAGAAATAAAATAAAATATAATAGAACAAAATAAAACAAAAATAAAATGAAATAGAATGAAATAAAATAAAACAGAATTAAACGGAATAAAATTTAATAAAATTAAATAAAATGGAATTTAATAAATTAAAATAAAATAATAAAATATAAAATAAAATAAAATAAAATAATAAAATATAAAATAAAATCAACTACAAGTAATATGATACGTTTTTGCAAGATCAAGGTGCAAATGTGTTTTCGAAGCAGTCGTTTAACATTGAAAATGGTAAAGTCGCTATTGACACGTCAAGCGGATTCATCACATTCATAGACTTCATTTATTTCATAGACTTTATTTCATAGACTCGAAAGGGGAGCTTATTAAACTTTTGTCATATTATCTAAGGCAGTACGATGTACTCCGGGCCAGCTTATAATATATACAGCTGCGGTCATTGAATAGTTTACTTACACCCTTACAAATCTAGTAGCCGATTTTTGGAATTTTTACCTTGTTTAAAAGCACATCTTACGTCAAAGTGACGTCACCAGGGCTGGATTCGTACAAAGTAGGTTGATTAAAATTAAAAAACCAAAACAAAATAAATCTACTTTACACAATGTAACAAAATAGAAATTATAGAAAGAAGTTTTTGCTGTTCTTCGAGTTTGGTAATTGCTCTTGTTTGTTACGTCTTAATTTTTGACAAGCACTTTGACATTTAGCAAATCCGTACGACACTGTGATTTTACAGTATTACAATATAAAAATAAAATGTAAAAAAAGCTGTACATACAAACATATTTATATTTATATGTAATGTCCTATTGTAATGTCGCTAATGTTTCTAGCGTTCTGCTCCTTTGGATTGCCAGTCTACATTCAAGTTTATCGACCCATTTTCCTAGTCGTCTATTCTCGTCCTATTGTCTGATATTGCCTTTTGGACTCCATTAAGCCATGTTTTTTTGGATCTTTCTCATCCAATATTATCTTCGGTAGTTAGACTATTTTTGTTTTATTTCTTGGATGATAGTAGTTGTCCTGTCCATTTGTCTTATTAGTCTTACAAAATGATAATAATAATAACAATATTACGTAAGAACATTTCTGAGAGAAACTTCGGGGTTCTAGGTCCACTAGGACTCAACAACACGCAAAGAGTGCCACCAGAGCTCCATCCTTTGGACACCGTAGGTATCTGGGATGAATTAATGTTATATAACTTATAGGGAGCGAGTGCCTTTTGACTTAAATCTAGATATTAATAACCTGGTGTTAGGCTTTTTTCCTAAGCAATTTTAAGAAACTTTATACTTAGTATAAAAGATACTCCATCCATCAAGAGCTTATAAATCAAGTAAGACTTCTCTAAACCGATTATCTTTCGTATTATAAATATGTGATACAATACTTGAAAACGACAACTACAAAAAATATTGGTACCGTACTGTGTTCATAGCTAACCAGTGGCACATAGTAGACCAGACCCCACGCTACCAAATAAAATAACTACATGAACTACGCTTGTTGATCTTCAGATACTTAACAATATTCTGCGCGTTAGATAGAATTAAAAAAAAATAACTAATTAGAATTATCATAAAATACGAATAAGGAATCAATAAGGGATACAAAGTTTACAGAAATATCTCTAATTAACTCAATTACTGGTCTTATTTGAAAGATCCTCCCTAGATATGCTAGCGAATATCAAACAGATCGAACATAGATGAACATCTTTATAATACCACGCAAACGCAGTACTAATTATGACGTCCAGATGTGTCAGAACATTTATTTTGTTAAAAATATTCCAGTATGTATTCTAGCGTTGGAAGACATTTTTAAATCTATAGACTGGGACAATAAAGGGATTTGTATAAACGGGAAATATTTAAATCATCTAAGATTCGCAGATGATGTACTCCTGATAGCAACAACTATGGAACAACTACGAATAATGATATCAGACCTAGAAAAAACATCTCTTGAGAAAGGACTAAAAATGAATCTAAAAAAAACTAAAATAATGACTAATACAGAAGACAGATCAGTAATTACCATAGATGGAACAGACATGGAACACGTCCAAGAATATATTTATTTAGGACAAGCTATCAGAGCAGACAAAAGTAACCAGACTAAAGAAATAACCAGAAGGATAAAAATAGGGTGGGCTGCATTCGGAAAACTCTGATATACTATCAAAAACCAAAAAATACCCTTAAAATTAAGAACGAAGGTATTTAATGAATGCGTCCTACCTGTTCTGACATATGGTGCCCAGACGTGGACGTGTACCAAGAGCAACTTAGATAGAATAAAGAAAACTCAAAGAGCTATGGAAAGACAAATGTTGGGAATATCGTTGAGAGATAAAAAGAGGAACGAGTGGATAAGATGCAAAACCGAAACAACAGACGCTGTCGAACATGCATTGAAATTAAAATGGAAATGGGCTGGGCATAATGAAAGATATCAGGATGGAAGATGGAATAAAGAAATTGGCCGCTGGAGACCATATAATGCAAAAAGGTCAAGAGGTCGACCGCAAATGAGATGGAAAGATGACATTGAGCAAAGCGCAGGTCCAATGTGGAAAAGACAAACAGAAGACAGAGACAAATGAAGACAAATGGGAGAGGCCTGTATTCAACACATGAATAGATTTTGGGCTATAGATAGAGACTCCAGTATAACAGGTCGTCTACTGCTTGATAAAATGGAAAAAATACTCCTCGACTTAAACTTTTTTGATCCTATGTATATGGGATGAGTGAATTTTTCCCTTAGAGGAGTAACAGCCATGTGGTTTAATTTTGTACAATCACATAATATTTAAAACCGCAATAAAAATGATAAAGAATCATAAAAAAAAGAACAAGAATGAGTTATAGGACAAAAGAACATTTAGATATATAGAAGACAATAGTGGCCTAAAAAATAATAAGAACGATAATTTTAAATATTAAATATCTTGTGAAATGTCAAAAATAAATCAAATAAATAATTTACAAATGACAAAATAACCGTCAAAAAAATTTTCTAATGATTCATAAAAACGTTAGTTTGATGGATCATTAGACTATAATAAAATTATCTACATTTTTATTAACTAACCATTACTAAACGCCATGATTATTCATGCACAAACACAATCGCAATTAACGAACCGCATAGTACCACTTACATACTGCCATTACCATCTTTAACATCCATCCTCCGCATCAGAACCTTCTGTTACAGTTAAATCACGCAGCCGAAAAAATCCGTACCTACAAAGCTTACTGCAAGTACCTATTACAAGTGGTACCAGTGACAGTGCGAAGGGGGAGCAACCTCTTCAAGAAGTGGAATCAGGTACGTTGGTATAAATATCATAGAACAAATGCGAATGTGATCCAGTGCTTTGCTTTTTGCACGAAAATCACTTCCGGATATTTAGAATGAAACCTTTGGTGAGTCAGTGAAGATTTTGGTGATTTTGTGGTGGTTTTAGTGACGCTTTAAGGATTGTTTTTGTGATAGTTTGTGATTTGGGAATAAGGGTCGGGTATAGCGGTGTTCTAGTTTACTTAATATAAAAATAGATTAAAAATATTTTGATCTAAATTAAAAGGGGGCAAATATATAAGTTAAATACTGATTTAAAACAACATTTATTAAATATTTTTGTAGTTTTTGTCAGTATGTTGTGATCACATTTAATTTTTATTATTTGATTTATTTCAAAAACTTGCAAAATTAAAAGAGAAACTAAATTTAAATGTATTTGAAAAAATATTGAATTATTAATATTAATTGGGGGGTCATTAAATAATTTTTTTTTTATTTAATTTCTGATTGGCATATTTTTCAGAAAATTTTTATTTGTTCTTTATCAATATTTATTTATATTCACAATAATTCGTAAAAGCTAATATAAAAAGTAGGTAATTCGGATAATCATGTATTTCCATCAAAAGTGTTTTTGTACTAAAAACCAACCAATATTGCAATTTTTTTTTTGAATCTATTGGTGTCACCAATATTGTAATAATTATCATCTTTCTATGATAAATTACTTCAAACATCGAACCAAACCTTCATTATATAATATTTTGTCTCTTGTTTAAATTAATTATTATCTGATGGAACTAAATTTGGTAAACTAGAAGGCTGAGCACGTTATGCTAAAATATTTCTACGAGGGTCTACTTGTTAGTTTTTAAAGATTTCCTAAAACATTTATTACTCTACGCATCATGTAAATATTGCTTTCGTTTTAACTGTTCCAATTCTTGACACTAACAATAATGTCATAGTTATTACTCATTATAGCTTCTTCATTATATAATTTCTTGACTATTATTGAAAATGGCGAACAATCTAGAGGAACTAAATCGGGTACATAAGTAGGCTATTTATAATATTTTGTAATACCTACGGAAAATTTTTCATTAGTTCTGTTTTTGGGTTTTAGAAGAAACATTTTAACACATGTGTGGTTTATATTATCTAGGCAATTATTATATTATTTTTGATCACATGAAAATATGAATGATATATTTTTGTCTTACCATTTATATACAATATATGCAGAGTTCATTTATATTAGGGACATATATTAGCTGGCTGTTATATATTACAATTTTGAAGCGAAGCTTTTATATCGGCGTTGTATTCCTTTTTTTCTCTACAGTAAAATGATGAGCGAACGTCACGGAAAACTAAATTTATTATCAAATGATATTTATTTATATTTTATTATTATTATTATTTGATCTGAATTTAACAGGTTTATCATAAGTTAAAAAATATGTTTTGTTAATTCTTTAACAGGTTATTAAACATAATAATTTATTAAATTTGTTTAAAATATAAAAAATAAATAAATAATCAAATTGTTTAAAAATAAATAATCACGACACTTTACGACTCCCTATGCTTCTTTTTCTTGGATCTTTTCCTGCATAATCAGTTGGAGCAAGGTGTATTTATCTCCACGTGTAATATGTCCGAGATATTCCAATTTTCTTGTTTTAATTGTATTTAAAATTTCTATCTCTTTATTAATCCTTCTCAGAACCTTATTTTTTGTGACGTGTTCTGTCCACGATATTTTCAGAATTCTTCTATACACCCACAGCTCGAATGATTCCAGTTTTTTCATTGATGTCGCATTCAATGTACAAGATTCCATTCTATAAAACAAAGTCGAAACAACATATCACCTCTGCAACCTAACTCTTAGATCCAATTTTAAATCCCTTCTACATAGCAATCTTCTCATTTTGTTGAAATTTGCTATAGATTTTTCTATTCTGATTTTGTTCTCCTGAATGTAATCATTTGTGGAGTTAATCATTATTCCCATATATGTGTATTTGTCTAGTTGTTCGACTTTGGTTCCGTTTATTAGAAGATTCTCGTTATTTCTTTGAGTTTTTGATATTCTCATAAATTTAATCTTCTTGACGTTTATTGTTAGACCGTACTATTTTACATACTCCGCTATTCTAGTCACCAGTATCTGAAGATCTTCAATATTTTCGGCTAAGATCAAAGTGTCGTCCGCATATCTAATGTTGAGAATGGGAACTCCATTTATCTTTTATCCAGCTCTTTCACCATCAAGAGCTTTTTTCAGGATCTTTCAGGAGTAGACATTAAAAAGAATTGGCGACAATAGGCATCTCTGCCTCACTTTACGTCTAATGACATCTGTTTGTTAACACATACTTTTGCTCTCTGTGTATAGTATAACTTTGATATGATCCTGAGGTAGTTGTAGTAAATCTTCTTTGATTTCAGGACATTCATTAATTGTTCATGTCGTACTTTATCGAATGGTTTAGTATAGTCAATAAAACATGCGTACATATCTTCACTGACGTACATATCTTCATTAACCACTCTTAACCTACTCAGGGTAATATGCCTGAACTAGAAATTTGGTTCAAGAGTGTCAGTAAAATATTAATCTCTTTCTTAAGTTTTTAATTTGTTTCTCTCTCTGCTGTTCCCCTTGTTCTAAATTTCTAAATTTCCAAGTTACTAAAATTCCCATAACTTTTTCTTCTAAGTATACTACAATTAGAATTTTTATTTCTTTCGTCTGTTTAATACCATTTCATGAAATCCCCTTAAATTCTTTCATTATCCATTTCAATAAATTTAAATTTTTAGTACAATGGATAAAATAAAAGGATTGGGTGATATGTTGTATAAAGAAAAAATTTCAATTAAAGTAAAATTAGTAGAGTCAACACCCAATATAATATAGGACGTTGTACAGCCCAATATACAAAATGTTGTTACAAAAACATAAAAAAGGACAATAAGTTCATGTTGCAAAAATTTGAATGTTTAAATGAATAAGCGAATGTCGTGACTTTTGTAAGAATTTCTGTATTTATATTTCCCAATTTGTTTCCAAAACTTCATACATAATATCAATCCCTACAGGCTGCACTTAAGTTATTGTTTTATTGTGTTTTAATTTCGACCATTACTTTCCTTTAAATTGATGGTTAGTACAGAAAGTTTTTTATTTTTGAAGCAAAGCTTCTATACTGACGTTATATTACTTTTTTTTCTAGAGTAAAATACTGAGGTGAGCGTCACGAAACTATCGGCACGAGAAGACGTCACGGGTAGCGTCACGAAATAGAGGTTCTTCACATCAATTTCAGTACTCTCGATCAATTCGCTTTTAGTCATCATACAGTTCTTCAAAAGAGGTTTAAATTGAAAACTGCATGAAAAATACCCAACAAAATACAGACAATAAATGAGAAATAATAAATTCAAGGAATATCGGTCAATAAAAGATTTGATTCGTTAAAATTTAAAAGTCATAAATGTCATCGATTTAATAAATAATCATCTGTTCAACATTTGAAGTTATATGACACTTCTCGTTTTAAATAATTTCTTAAAAATACAATTATGATCTTTTAATATCTTATTTAGTTTATATAATAATTAAATTTACTTTCATATGATATTTATTTATAGTAATAACTATTTGAATTGGAATAAGCCACAATTAAAGGTTAAAGTAAGTTTATTGACGTTTTAATTTCCACTTCCACAAATCGTGCCCAAAATAAGAGTTAATATTTTGAGAACGATTTCCGAAGTGGAAATTGAAATGTCAATAAACTCACCTTAACCTTTAATCGTGACTTATTCCCATTCAAATAGTAATTACTTTAAAATTCCATAAAAAAACAGCTTCAGAACAATACGTTTATTTATATTTTATTAATAATTTAATATTTTGTTTAAAATTGGCAGATCTGTCAGAAGGAAACAATGTATGCTTTCTTAATATGTTAGCAGGTGGCGTTAGGAGCAAACATAATAATTTATTAAATTATTTTAATATAATATAATTTGTTTGATATATAAATAATAAACAACTAATAATATACTAAATTACTCAATTTAAAAAATAGGATTTAAATTTTAAAAATACGAAAAACATAGTATGCCTAGTAAAAAGCATAGTATAGCTCACTGTGCCATTTTTTTGGTTTCCAATATTGCCATTCATTTGTGACACAAACGTTTTGAAGTAAACGCCTTACAAACATCTAATATTAATTAAAATTATTATAGTTTATTCTCAAAAAATATAAAATACTCAGTGTAACACATGCAAGAAAATAGTTTCCTCCTTCTCAGTCCTAATCCCTTTTGGGATGTGACCGTCAGGCCTTTACAGTTTTTTCGCGATTTTTTTATTCATCCTTCCCTGTCCTGGGATAGTTGTTTGCCTTCATGTAACCCTTAATACATCAATATTTTTGTTTGATCTACCCAACGGCTTGGAGATCTTTCCCTTCCTTATGTGTCCAATGTGTCCAAAACACTGCAAATATCTCTGTTGTATTTGTTTAAGCAATCTATCTTTTACTTGTCAATCTTTACAGTCCAAGATATTCTTAACATTCGGCAGTATACCCACATTTCAAAACCGTCTAGTTTATTTTTATCTGGTTTATTTCAGGTCTACGTTTCGGATGCATATGTGGCTATGGTAAGAATGAGTGGACTTTCCAGCCTTAGTTTTGTGTGTATTCTTATGCTAGAATTTTTCTAAATTGCTTCCAGTTTCATCATGGCTGTTCTAGCAATAGTCAACCTTCTACGTATCTCTCTGTCACACCCTCCGTCATTTGTTACTAGGGACCCCAGATATATGAAACTATTTACTACTTCAAAGCCACCAATTTCTTTAATATGTTGAAGATTATTCCGAGCTCTGTCTATATTCATGATCTTTGTCCTACTCCTATTGAGCTGTAGTCCATATGTTTTGCTTTTTTCCTCCAGACATCCCAACCATATAACATAAAATAGTTTCACAATCATATAAACATACCTTACGAGTTTACATTTCACACTTAGTACGAATTTCAATTTTTTAATTTAATTTACACAAAAAGTAACAATCATGGTGAACACCATC